TTCTTAAGAATATTACAGAATTTACAGGTTTTTTGTGACTCAAAATTCATACAAAGAAAATATGAATTATACAAGAATTTCAATCTAACAGACAATCACTATACTATATTATTATATAACTGTATAATAACAGATTATCACAATCTGGAAAGTAATATTAGAAAATATTTAAAGAACTTTCTCTTAATATTTTGTATTTAATGGTATAAAATGTGAAAACAGAGAAAATATTTCATGGCATGACGTTTATGTCGTGATAATGACTCGACTTTTCATAACTTCTTATAAAAGCTATTTTATACTTAAGGAAATTTTTTATCGTTTTAATGTATTGAATTTGCTTTTCAATTCATTTCTATAAATAAATTATTAATCTATAAAATAAACAGTTTAAAACACTTAACACATAATATAAGAAATGTTCAAAAATATTATTCAAATGTCTGTCACTTTCATGATTTCATTTGTTTAGAAACATAGAAATAGTTGTTATCAATGCAATTTTTATTAATCAATACCGTGTTAAATTGAACTTAAATAGCTAATACTGTATTTGTAGAAAATAAAAATTTATTTTGAATTTCCTTCTATGTTAATATTTTCACATGCAATTTATGCTTTTGTTAATGAGTTACTACTGTATATTACTGTATACTGTAAGACTTGTATTACAAAGTCTGTATAAGTGAGTATTAATAGAATTTTGAGACCTTTTGCACTATAAATGTGTTTATGTTGTAAATTGTGTTAAAACTTGTTTAAGAGTTTATTAACTTAATCTAATTTCAGTTTGAACGCCAAAACCTCCAAAATTTGTTGTTAACTCTTAAACTCATAAACGAGAACATGAGGTGATCATTGATTTATTGAAATATTATTCCTAATGAATAGTTTCCTGAATAGTCATAAAAACTACTTTTCTGTTATAAAGTTATAAAAATAGTACGTAAGGACTCAATTGACTCAATTGAAAGGTTGGCTATACTATAGTTGATTAATTAGCACTAAATTCGTACTTTCAGTCCTCAGAGCACCTGTATTTGTATATGTGAGCAATTCACTGCATTTAAACTTCAATAATTGATAACAAGTATACAAATCTGTTTTTTACCTTAAGTACCGTAATTAAAGTCTTTCACCTCATGGTAACACTGCTCTTAACGTGTAATAAGAGGTAACAGTGTCTACAGTCTTATCTCGAGGTCTTTGATTAAACAAAAGCTAATGATTTGAAAAAAAACTGAATTTTCATAGAAGTCAAACATTTATTAACAATGAATTATCAAAATAACATTTTTGTAAATTTACATTACCACTAAATTGAATTATCATTGAAATATTTGCAAACTAAACAATTATTATCGTAATCTAATATCACATTACTTTATATGAATTTACAGTCAAATCAAATATCAATTTTTATCAGTCAGTAATTAAGAATGTGTTTTAAAAATATATATCGAATATCACAAATCATTGAAATGACAATATGTGGAAAACATGATCGTATGAAATGTTTTTAATACAAGTGAAACAAAAGACAATATTATGGTAAAAATTATTGTCAAACAAAATAATCGCAAAAAACATGTTACAAAACAAAGAAATGTCAAAAATCATGAGAAATATATTAAACAAAATTAACAAAATGTTTGTAATCGTCAAAGCATTATCTATCAAAACAATTCTACTAATTATCACAAAACTTGGTTTCTTAGTCCTCGATGTCGATCACTTCAACATCGGATGAGCGGACACTCGAAGAGCTCGATATGTCAATCACCTCAGGACTGACAGGACTAGGACTAGGACTAGGACTCGAACTGCAAGTGTCCAACAATTTTGCTTTGGGACTGCAGTTGAGGGTATAAAGTGTGGTCTTAGTAGCGACGCCAACCATGAGATCCAATCCATTATCAGTAATGGCAACACTGATAATCTGATCGGTGGTAACCCTCCTGTTGACCAAAGGCTTGTGGTGAGTGAGGTAATGGAGGTGTTCGGGAGCAGTAAAGCTGTGCACAAACACATAGCCATGAAATGAGGCGCAGGCGAGCACCGAACCATACAATGCGATACTAGTGATAAAGTCGGCCGATTTGAGCCAATCATTCAAAGGACAGCGTCTGAACACTCGCGAGTCAGTCGTAAAATAGATTTGATTCTTATCTATAAGTCGACACATTTGAGTGACCATTCCTTACAAACAAAACCATAAACTCATTGAACACTTACGGGTGATGAGGAAAAAGATTCCGTCGCCAAAAGAAAACACATTTTTCATCTTAT